CCTCTTGTGTTATTAGTTTGAAGGCTTGTGTCGCCGACAGCGCGAAGAATAAGCAAAAAAGCGGTTCCGTTTGCGATCCAAAATCAGTCAATAATAAGCCGCTCAACAAAGAGGCGCTCAAACCAGTGATTAAAGAGGCGCTCAAACCAGTAATCAAAGAGTCGCCGCTCAAAAGCGCACCGCCGATGACTGCAAAGCCTGCGCTTAACGCCAGGAAATCGGTCGAATTTGTGGACGTTGTGGACACCGACTCTATGGACTCAATTGAATCAATTCCCAACTCTATTGAAGACTCTTATGGAGAGCCAACAGAGATCTCTGGACTCAACAACGAGACCACCGCTGAAGACAAGACAACAGAGATGGCGTCCGCTGTTCTCGAGGGTCTCGAGTCCAACAACGACCGCCTGTCCATCGATTTCCTCGATGTACTCTTTAGCCATGAATTGATTGTTTAGATTTTAATATTTTAATTGCTTTTCTTAGTCTTCATTTGGATCCCACACCGATGGCAACCAATCGCTTCCAACGGCCAGAAACGCGTCACAAGAGAAGGAGAAGGCGTTCAAGAAAGTGATGGATTGGAAGTCGTGTCAAACGAGTCAACACATTGTGGACACAGGAATGCAAACTCAAAATTCACCCAAAAAGGTGTTGAAATCAGTTTCCATTCAAGTTGTGGCCAAACTCTGCAATCAGAGTATACAGACTGACCCTCTGTTGGACATCAATACTGATAATGCGGCCAAAGAGACCACCAATTGTTGCGAATCTAATAATTGCTGTTTCCATAAGTCTATTGAGAATATTCCGTGTCATTCACTTCAGATGTTTCTCAAACAATTGGTTGAGTTTAAGGCCAATCAATTGGTAACTAATGACAACCAATTGGCCATCAATTGTAAGTGACATCACATAATATAAATGATAATTGTTTTGCATATAAATCACAATTTCTGTATTAAACAGCCGATGAAGTGAAGGCCACGAGTGAGCCGTCAGTCAGCGCTAAACCTATCAATGAAATTGAAAATAGAGAAGAAGCGGTTTTAGTGCCTGTGATTGACAAGTTGTCCACTCAAGACATCCATTGGGCGGTGAAGTCGTATTCATCAAAGAGATCGTCCTTTGAGTCCATCACAAGAAGTAAAAAACCCAAAACAGAGCTTAAATCGGATTCAAATGTAGAAGAAGTGGTCGAATTGATTGAAACAGACAAAGAGGTTATCGATGAAAATGTTGTCAACGAATCCAATGAACGAAAGGCAAAGAAAACTGCATCGAAACCGAAAGCAGTTCGAAGTAAACGCGAAGCGAAGGCTGTTGTGGAGGAAGTTGTGGCCGAAGAACAGGCTGTTGTTGATAACGAAGAAGTGGTTCAAAGTAAACGAAAGGCCGCAAAGACTGTTCCAAACACTTCTAAACGGAGTCGAAAGGCGGCCGAACAGAGGGTTCCCGAACTGATGGCGCCAAAGGTTGCGGAGGAATCGGTGCAAGAAGTGGCAGACGATAGCGTCTTTATATTTGAAGACCCGCCAGAAGTGGTGGAACCGAAACAAAAGCCAAAACGAAAAGTTGTCACTAAAAAGACGGCTAAAAGTAAGGCTTTAGTGGTAGAAGAAGAAGAAGACGAAGAGCCAAAACCGGTGGCAAAGAATGTCAGAAAACGTCAAATCATTTCTACTGAATCGGAAGAGACGCCAAAAGCGGATACTAAGAGAACTAAATCAAAGTTTAACGTG